GGGGGTAGGGAAGGGCCTGATCCTGCTCTTGGCCCCGGTGCCACTCCCCGGCTGACGGCGCTGTGCCCTCCCCCGCCAGAAAGCCATCGACCTGGTCACCAAAGCCACCGAGGAAGACAAGGCCAAGAACTACGAGGAGGCCCTGCGGCTGTACCAGCATGCTGTGGAGTACTTCTTGCACGCCCTCAAATGTGAGACGGTGTCCCGTTCCCCCCCGCTTTCCCAGTTACAGCCCGCGGGGCTCGGGGTGGGGTGGGGGCTCCGGAGGGGGCGGCGGGGTTGCTGGCTGTGGCGCAGGGCCATGGGTGATGCTTGGGGGGGTGTTGGGGGTGTCTCTGCAGATGAGGCTCCCAGCGACAAGGCGAAGGACAGCATCCGAGCCAAGTGCATGCAGTACCTGGACCGGGCGGAGAAGCTGAAGGAGTACCTGCGCAGCAAGGATAAGCAGGGCAAGAAGCCAGTCAAGGAGTCCCAGAATGACAACAAGGGGTGCGTGGGGGCGTCAGGGACCCCCCCCCCCGCCTGCCAGCAGAGCTGGTGGGACCCTGCTGCCACACTGGGCCCGGTGCCATTCCTGACCTGTGTCCCCTCTCCCCAGGAGCGACAGTGACAGCGAGGGCGAGAACCCTGAGAAGAAGAAGCTGCAGGAGCAGCTGATGGGTGAGGGGCTGTGGCGGGCACGGTTGTGGTGGCTGTCTGCGGGGTGGGTGGAGGGATTCCCGAGCGGCTGTCGTGAGGGGTGGCTGCGGGGAGGGGGACAGGTGGTGGGACTGCAGCCCAGGGGTGCGCTGCTGGGGCTTGGTAGCCCCCAGCCTGGCCTTTGTGCTGAGGGGCAGTGGGGTTGGCGGGGTGGAGGTGTGGGGAGGGAGGGGGGCAGGGGGTCTGGCTCTCCTGGCTCTTGGCAGATGTTGGGAGCACGGTGCCCATCTCTGCGGGGCACGTGAGCAGAGCTGCCTCCTCACAGGTGCCATCATGATGGAGAAGCCCAACGTGCGGTGGAGTGACGTGGCCGGTCTGGAGGGAGCCAAGGAAGCCCTGAAGGAAGCCGTGATCCTGCCCATCAAGTTCCCGCACTTGTTTACCGGTGAGTGTCACGGTAATGCCGCGGCTGCCGCTCACCCACGGAGAGGGTGCCACAGGGCAGCAGCTGGGGCGAGCACCTGCTGGAAGGTGATCCTGAGCAACGGGGACACATCTCCTCGTGGGCCCATGGGGACCTGGCCTGCTCCAGGACAGGGGAGCTGTGACGCTGGCCTCTGTTGCAGGGAAGCGCACGCCCTGGCGAGGGATCCTGCTCTTCGGGCCCCCCGGCACTGGCAAGTCCTACTTGGCCAAGGCCGTGGCCACCGAGGCCAACAACTCCACCTTCTTCTCCGTGTCATCCTCGGACCTGATGTCGAAGTGGCTGGGAGAGAGCGAGAAGTAAACTGGCTGCAGGGATCCATGGCTGCTGCAGGCTGGCTCCCGGCCTCCCCTGTGGCCGGGCTGGCAGTGCCAGAGCTCTGGCCAGGGCAGAGGAGCCACCAGCATTCGTGAACCCCGTTAATGCAGATAATGTGTCCCAGGGGAGAGCACAGGCCTTCCTGAGGCTCCACAGCCCAGGGGATGGCCTTTCTCCTGGCACGGCGCTCGCCGCCTCAGTGCCAGCACAGGGTTGCCAGGGCAGGCAGGGGCAGGAGGAGCCGGCGGTGCGTGGGTCTCCTCGCCCCAGGGCAGTCAGGGGCTCTGGGTGCCGTTGGTCCTGTGGAGGGTCCCTGAGCGGGGACCCTGTCCCCTGCTTTGTTCGCAGGCTGGTGAAGAACCTCTTTGAGCTGGCAAGGCAGCACAAGCCTTCCATAATCTTCATCGACGAGGTGGACTCGCTGTGCGGCTCCCGCAATGAGAACGAGAGTGAGGCAGCCCGGCGCATCAAGACGGAGTTCCTGGTGCAGATGCAGGGTACGTGGGGCTTCCAGCGGGACAAGCCAGTGTGGGGAGAGGGCGGGGAGAAGGACGGGGTGGGCAGGTGCCGGAGAAGCTGCCGGATGCCTGCGTCCTGCCATTCCCTGGGCATTGCTCTGAGCCGTCCGCCTGCTGTGTCCCTGGCCAGGTGTGGGGAACAGCAGCGATGGGATCCTGGTGCTGGGTGCCACCAACATCCCCTGGGTGCTGGACTCGGCCATCAGGAGAAGGTGAGCAGGACATGGCTGCCCCCCCAGTCCTGCTGCCAGAGCCGCGGGGCTGTGCCCCGGCAGGATCTGGCAGGGGGTCTGGCAGCGTGGGACTCACCCCACCCCGCCTGCCTGCACTGTCTTCAGGTTCGAGAAGCGCATCTACATCCCGTTGCCCGAGGAAGCAGCGCGGGCCCAGATGTTCAAGCTGCATCTGGGCAACACCCCGCACTGCCTGACGGAGGCCAACATCCAGGAGCTGGCCCGGAAAACGGATGGCTACTCGGGGGCTGACATCAGCATCATCGTGCGGGACGCCCTGATGCAGCCTGTCCGCAAGGTGCAGTCGGCCACCCACTTCAAGAAGGTGAGCGTGGGCTGCTCCCAGCCCTTGGAGGGGTGTCCATTCCTGGGGTGGTGGGCCCCCCACGGCTGGCATTGGTGCCGTGGCCACCATCCCATGCCGCCTGGCTCTGTCGCAGGTCCGCGGTCCCTCCCGTACCACCCCTGGCGCCTTTGTGGACGACCTCTTGACACCATGCTCGCCTGGTGACCCGGGTGCCACCGAGATGACCTGGATGGAAGTGCCCAGCGACAAGCTGATGGAGCCCATCGTCTGCATGGTAAGTGTGGCCGCCGCGGCACAGCACCGGGCACCCGTTCTGTCAGGTGGTGGCTGGCCCCAGCCCAGCAACGCTGTGGCCCCTGCCCTGCCGGTTCCCTGTCCCTCCTCTGGTGTGGCCGCCTACGGATACAGCTCCTCGCTCGCTGAGACACCAGCCCCCACTTTTACTGGGGCGCAGCACCCAGCCCGGGGCAGCACCCCAGGGTGCTACAGGGATGGACAGAGCTGCCTGCGCCAGCTGGCACTGCTATGGCGCGGGTCGGGGGGGGTCCCTACCCTGTGCCAACCCCCACCTCGGTGCCTGGTCTCAGCTGCCCATCTCTGCCTCTGTTGCAGTCGGACATGCTGCGCTCGCTGGCCACCACCCGCCCCACCGTGAACGCTGATGACCTCCTGAAGGTGAAGAAATTCACGGAGGACTTTGGACAGGAAGGTTAAGGGCGGCGGAGGGGTGGGGTGGGGATTGGGGGTCCCTGCCGCACGCCCCCCACTCCCGCCCCGCCGGCCGTGCCAAACAGGTTCATCTTCCGCTCACTCCTCACCCCATTGCACCGCAGCACCCAGCGGGGCGCGGGGAGCACGGCCTGGGGGGGCTGACACTATTGCGGGGGGGGGCGGTGTCTGAGCATGGCCTGGGTGGCCGGGTGCTCCCCCCGGCCCTGCCCCACTCTTCTTCCTGCTCTTTTTTATTTTTTAAATTAATGCTGCTTTGGGTTCTGTCTTGTTTATATGAAAATAAAAACAATCTGAAAGCTTCAGCTGGCACCTGGCCCCTCCCTGAGGCTCTGACTGCACTGGGGGACCCAGCCCAGCCCCCCCCAAACCCACTGCCCCAGGGCCAAGGCCTCGGGCTCCGCCTGTGCCGCTGCCACCATGTGCGGGCAGGAGGCCCAGGCAGCTGCTGCCTGTCCCTGGGTGAGGGGGTGTGGACCTCCCCATGCTCCAGCCGTCCTGGCCAGGGATTTGTGCCTGCGGTGGGGGGAGTGTTTTGGGCTTTGTCCCCCCACCCCCTGAGCATGCAGCACTCGAAGCAGCCATGGGACAAGCCCTGAAGGCTCCTGCCAGCAGCTGCCCCGCCCCGCCCCAGCCAGCACCCTGTGTCCCCCTGTGCCATCCCCGACCCAGCCTCAGCCCTGCTGCCCCCAGCCCCCCACTGCTCCCCTCCACTGTCTCCACTGCAGCACCTCGACCCCCCCCAGCTGCCCACACCATGACCCTGGGCACCAAAGAAGCCCCAGAGAGGGGGTTCTCCCCCCCCATCTCTCCCCACCCTGCCAGCAGCTCTTGGTCCTAGAACCGTAAAATAATTTTGGGTGCAAGGGGCAGCAAGGGCTGGGCTCCTCCTGGCTATACCTGCCCCCCCTACACACACCTGGGGAGCAGCCAGGCAGGGCCCAGGCCGGACTAGGGGGGGTTGCGGAAGGCGGGCAGGAACAGCCAGGAGCCGCGCTGAGCCCTCACAGTGTGTATTGCCTGCGGTACAGCCGAGCGAGAGCCCCCCCACCTCCCGCGGGGCCACAGCTCCGCACTGGAGAAGTCACTGCAGTTCCAATCCGGCGAGACGAGGTACTGGGACAACCAGTGCGGCCGGGCACCTGCCTGCCAGCACGGCGGGCCTCAGTCCAGGAGCTCCATCCAGCTGACGTTGGTGAAGGTGCGGCTGTCCATCCGGTCAACGTAGAGGATGCCATCCAGGTGGTCCATCTCGTGCTGGACGATGCGGGCCGCCCAGCCCTTCGCCTCCCAGCTCACTGGCTCCCCGCGCTCGTCCACGCCTGCCGACCAGGAAAGTGGCGGTCAGAGTTGCAGGGGCGGTGGGGAGGTCCGGGGGAACGTGTCCCACCCGGGGCGGGGGACAGTCAGGACCGGCGGGGGTCAGTACCAGAGACGTGGACGGCCCAGTGGCGTGGGACGTAGGCGGAGAAGCCCTTGAGGCTGGCGCAGCCCTCGGGAGCGGTGACGAGGCGGGCGTCGAGGACGCGGAGCGCGGGGTTGACGAGCAGGCGGAACGGGAAGGGCTCGATGCCCTGGGCGCGGCGCAGGGCCGGCGGGTACTGGAGGCAGCGGGCCGGGGTGAGCTCGGCGGCGAAGACCCGCAACGGCACGCCCAGCTGCGGGGCGCTTAACCCCAGGCACGGCTCCCGCCTCAGCCCGGCCGCCAACGCCGCCGCCAGTTCCCGCAATTCGGGTCCGCCCAGCCGTTCCGGGGCTACGGCTGCGGCGGCGGCGCGCAACACCGGGGCTCCCACCTGGCAAGGGGAAGCGAAAGGCGGGACGGGAGGTCCCAGCACCTTCCTCCGCAGCGCCCGCCAATACGAACGTTCTCGTTCTCCCCAACCCGCCGCCTCCCCGTACCCCCGGCCCGGGGCTCCCGATCGGGCCCGTCCCGCCAACC